GTACAAATGAACTGCATTATACATAAACAGAGGTGGCATACAAACAGAGTTGGGCTCACACAAATAATAACTAGCATTTCGAGGATAACAAATTCACGAATTTTGCAGATTTTTGAAGATTCGTGAAATTAAATTCTTTGAAAATCAATTTAATACAGTAGAAGATGGCAGAAAAGTGGCAATTCGCAAAAATTAATTCTGTGAACCTCCGGATACAAGCCATTCGTGAAAATTATTATCCTCAAAATAAACCCACTATACGGTAAATGCTAATTGGCACTTACTGTTGGTACTACAAGTTGCTCTCTGTGTAGTTTGTGTGAACTAAATGCATCTCCTTTAAAGAGCACTTCCTTTAAAGAACTTTTAACATCTTCTAAATGTATGACTGAGCGAGCTTCATCAAGTTCTAGTAACCGTAGTAACCTCATACATGATGAATTGAGATTAAATAACTATTGAGGGTGAAAGAAGTTGAATGACATAAAAATCCTTCCTCTTACTTCTCCTATATTTTGCTTTAATTTTTCAACAGTCCAACCTTCTTCACCTCTTATTTGTTGAGCTGGTTTTACTTCACCAGTTAACAGATCAACCACTGATATCTCTAGATTAATACCTACACCATCAAACACATGTGCATGTACATGTAGTGAAAGGCATTGTCATGGTAACCAACCACACCCACCTCCAGTATTGTATTTCTTAAAGGTTTCAACATCTCTACAAGTTTCTAAAAATAATCCACAATATCCAGCCACACCCATAAGTTGTCCAATAGTTTGATCCTGAAACTAAATATAATAATGAGATAATTATAACAATAGACCACCTAGGTGCTAAAACTATTTTCAATAAAATTAATCATTTACAGTAGCCACCCACGGTGTATTATTACTGATAGCAAGAAGTTCTCCACATCAAAGGCTGATCAAAGCCAAAGGTGCCAAAATAAAGCACAGCAAGAAAACCATGCTGCAGCAAGAGTTACCTGATCTTTAGGATACTTTGTAGTGCTCAGAAAAATGGCCAGGTGTTGCAGCCTTTGACCTTCCTTTGATGTTGAGGCTTTCTTGCCATAGGTAATTTACATTGTGGGTGGATACCGTATGTGAAAAAATTTATTACGGACAAATAATTATCGTTATTGTAATTAAAAATAGCCTTAGCACCTAGGAGGTCTATAAAATAGGTATGTACCTTGTCAAGATCAAATGACTGTTCCATTATATCATTAATAAAATTATACTTAACTAAACGACATCTCTCAATAGGAATATGAGGAGCTAATTCCATCAACTGATAAAGAAATGAGCAGAAAAGAAATGAAAGAATAAAATACAAAAGATCAACTAAAATAACAAACCTCATAAGCTTTATCCAGTACTGTGGGTAGTAATTCATCTTTATGTACTTGAAATAATTTACTAGTTAATTTACCAGTAACAGGATGATTGCAATATAATAAGAACTATAAATTAAAAGAAATTAGTGAGTCTACTCCCTATCTCAGTCTCACTCACTGTACACATTTGATCCTCTTCATCACTTAGACTATCATACTCAATCTCTTCAACTTCAGACTCATCATCTTTAAAATCTAATCAACAATAAAATGACAGCACACACATCACTACTATTAAACCTTCAATCTCTTTCATGATCTTCTTATTGTGTTTCCTTACAGTAATTAGCTCCATATTCATTAATGTTATTCTTTCTTGTAATTTCTCTATTATTCTTTTATTATCTACTAATGGCTGATAGTCTGGTCTTGTCATTGCTTCAAGACAGCATTTGCAGTCATCAATTTCAAAAGACATTCCTCTTCTCACTTTGCTAGCAGCTTTAAATAATTATATAATT